AATCCCAGCACTCGGGAGGCAGAGGCAGGTAGATCTCTGAGTTCGAGGCCAGCCTGGTCTACAGAGCGAGATCCAGAACAGCCAGGGCTACACAGAGCAAACCCTGTGTTGAAAAGCAAAACAAAACAAACAAACAGAAAAAGGGCCTGACTCCCTCCTGCCCTGCAGTGATATTTCTATATAAAGAAAGAAGCGTCGGGACTCACAGAGAAGCCCATGGAAGCTCACATGGAACAGCTAAGTATGAACTTGCAGTTATCTGAGGGTGGACTTGTGTGGACTGAGTTTGAAGAAGGTGGAAAAGGGATGCAATTAGTGGTAATGTGGAGTCCAAAGTCAGGAGGTCAGAATGGGTCACCTCCTCTGAGTCCTGATGCTCTTGAGGAATGTCACAGTCTGAGAATGTCCTTGCATGACACTAGTTCAGTCCCAGCATTATCACGGGCACAGCAGCCCCCTTGTCTGCAGAGGTTACCTCCAAGACCTCTTATTGACCCCTGAGATGGCAAGCAGCACTTAGCTCTGCTGGTGCACTGTACATATACATGCACAGCCATGGCAAAATTTAATTCCTAAATCAGGCACAGGCAACTAACAACAATGACAATAAAATGGAACAACTATAACAATAGGTTGCGATAAAAGTCATGTGAGCATTCCAGGTCTGGAGATCCCTGGTTGATTAGTTACTCTTCTTATTTCTATGATAAAATAGCGACAAAAGCAACTTAAAGTCACGCAGACGCTGTTTTTATCTCTCCCCCTTCTCGTGAGGTTGTAGGATGGTCCATCTTTACGACAAGATGGAGTAAAGGGAACCATACAGGCACTGTGCCAAAGCCAAGGTGCTGTCAGCTTTTTGACAACACATCTGAAGGGGACCATTGGGCCAGGATGATCTGATCAAAAAGCAACTTAAGGGAGAAAGGATTTTTGTTATGTTTTGGTTTTAGTTTTGCTCATATTTCAAGTTTGCGGTGTATCTTGAAAGGAAAGTTCCAGCAGCAGGAGCTTGAGGCAACTGGTCACGTGGCATCCACAGCCAGGACACAGAGCAGTGGATGCTGGTGCTCAGCTTGCCTTTCCTGGTTGGTATGCAGTCCAGGACCCCAGCCCGGAGACTGGTACCTTTCTGTGTGTGCTTCTTCTCATTTCAATTAAACCAATCAATATCATTCCTCACAGGCACATCCAGAGGCCACTGTAATCTAGAGGGTTCCTCCGGGCTGTGCCTGGAGCTTTGCCTCCTAGGCAATTCTAGGTCCTGATGAGTCAGCAGTCAATATTAACCAACATAGGCAGCTGTCAGGAAGTCACTTAGCAGGGGGTGGCAGCTGAGCTCATGGGATATGGAATGAGAAAGAATATGAGATTTATTAGACACGTTTTTTAATAATTTAATTTAATTTTGTGCTCATTGGTAGTTTTTCATCTCTGTGAGGCATGTCTTGTGTAAGAGTGTCAGAAGTCCTGGAAATAGAGTTACAGACAGGTATGAGTTGCCATGTGGGTGCTGGGAATTGAACCCGGGGCCTCTGGAACAGGAGACAGTGCTCTCAACCACTGAGCCATCTCTCCAACCCCTAGACATGTTTTATGTATAGTTAATACGACATTGTGTTGTGTGTTGTAAAGTTGATGAGAAATAGAAATGAACCATTAGGACACTGAAAAGAGTTATAAATAGAAATTATGATATCGTCTACATACCGCCTGTGAGATGGTCCTGTGTCTCCAGCAGGGTACCTGCACTTCTCTTTGTCTGTCGTGAGCTGCGAGGATAGGCTGGTGTCTCCTGTGCCAACAAGAATCATGTTATGCGCATAGCTGGTGCTCAGCAAATATTTGTGAAAGGAACAAATAAACACGTCACCCAGGAATGTTCTAGAAGAGAAGTAATGTCACGGTGAGGCCAGTGGCTTGGACTTTGGAATGGGCCAGACTGCAGCTTGTGCTCCAATCCTGTCTTCCACTGTCCCAGTGAGGCAGGTCCCACAGTTAGCTTCTTCTAGCCTCAGTGTTCTCTGTTGTGTGAGATTTTGTTTGTGTTCTGACAAATAAAGCTTGCCCGGAGATCAGAGGGCGGAGCTAGTCACTAGCTAGCCATAGAGGCCAGGCGGTGGTGACTCACACCTTTAATCCCAGCGCTTGGGAGGAGGAAGCAGGAAGATCAGGAGTTCAAGGCCATCCTGGGTTATATGAGATTGAACCAGTCTAAAAGAGAAACAGCTGGGCAGTGGTGGCTCACACCTTTAATCCCAGGACTAGGAAGGTGGAGACAGGATCTGTCACCCCACCCCCACCCCCATTCCATCTGAGATTTCATAGAGGTAAGAAGTCTCTAGTGGCTGTTGCTCTGCTTCTCTGATCTTCCAACTTTCATCCTAACATCTGACTCTGGGCTTTTATTGATAAGAGTTCTATTCTCCCCTTCATAAATGATACAAGCCCGTGGCTTCTCACCAGCTAGTTTGAAGGCAGGAAACAGCAGAGTAGCTATGGAGGCAAGATTAGGAAACGTGACCCATGCTCACTGGGCGCTAACAGGAGCAGCAGAGCTCCAGACTATTTAACGCATGTTCTAAGAGGGTGGGCTCTTCTAGGAGGGCAGAGGAGAAAAGTGAGTTTTGACAGTCACAGTAGCTGGAACATTAGCTTGGAAGCTACCCATGTGACTTCCCATTGTGTACAGAAGTGACAGAGAGGAGCTGTGACTCCTCCACAACCACAAAGGGGAGATTAAGGCAAGACAGGACCCAGAATGTCATCTTGGACCCCACCTGCATGTGGGATTCCTTGTGATGGATTTCCATTCCCAAACTGAGTGCACAGAAAACTAACGCATGCTTAGGTGGGTTCCCCCCGCCCCCTACCTCTCCTCCCCCCCATTCTTTTTAACAAAACTTATTAAGTTTGCTTCATTATAAAGCAATACTTCTAAAATTCAAAAGATATAGAAAAATGAAATTATGTACATGTCCTCTAAGTGCAATGATAATCTGTATTCCTATTTCACTGCATGTTCTTCTAGTCTTACATTGTATGTAAATAGCATGTGTGTGGTAGGAGTACATATGCATTTATGTGTGCATGTGGAGGCCAGAGGTCAATGTTGGGTGTTTTATTCAATCCCTCTCAACCTTAGATAGGTTCTCTCAATGAAACTGGGGCTCACCAATTTAGCTAGGCTGCCTGGCCAGTGTGTCCCAGGGATCTGCCTGTCTCTTCCTCCCTAGTGCTGGGACTACACACACACCGCTGTATCCACCTCTACCAGCATTTTAAAACCATAAATAACATCTGTTATATACAGAATATATAAATTAGTTTAAAATTTTAAATCATATTTATTTATTTATTTATTTATTGTGTGCGTGCGTGCGTGCGTGCGTGCGTGTGTGTGTGTGTGTGTGTGTGTGTGTGTGTGTAGTTGGGAGGACAGCTTGGGGGAGTTGGTTCTCTCCTTCCACCGTGTAATTCCCAGGGATTGAATTTAGGTCCTCAGGCTTGGTGGCAAACACCTTTACACACTGAGCCATCTTGCCCATCCAAATTAGCCTAACTCTTTATTTGACATCATGATATAGATGTTTTCCTTATTATAACTTAGCCCATGGAAGCAGTGTCTGCACACTTTGGAAGCCCTTTTCCCCTGGGGGCTGGGAAGTCTTGCCTTTGACCTTGAGCCACTCAGCCATGAGGACTTGAGCCCAGCAGGGTCTAGTGGATCCACCACATATGAGACCAAGAGGGGATGATGTCTGCCTTCAGAAGACCTGAGAGCCAGGTCATAGTGACCTCTTCACAGGACCAGCCAGCCCTTGAACTCTAGCCTCCATTTCACTTCTTTGAAATGGGATCAATAGCTTGCCTCATAGGATAGCTACCAGGCAAGTGAGCTGCCAGCTCAGTCCGAGTCTTGGTTTATTGGATTCACCAGAACTTTCAGAAGCCAGCAACAGGAAATCCAGCCCCACAAAACTTAAACCATAAAGAGAATTTATTAGCTCACAGAATGGCAAAGTCCAGACCCAATGACCCAAGAGGGACACAGGACCTGAAGGACATGGCTACAGGCCTCAGCGGTTGTTGTCCTACCTGCCTACATTTCTGGTCATCCCTTCCCAGGGAACATTCTTTCCAGTACTTCCCAGACCTTCACACTGAGGACAGTACCCCTAATGCTGGTAACCCCAAGAGAAAACACATTGACCTGATTGTTCTGCAGAGGCCCAAGTGGCTAGGCCTGGCCCACACCCTCCTGTCTCAATGGGCATCCACTCACCTCCTAGGCTGTGAGTGGTTAAGGGTGGTATTCCCAAGAAGACTCAGGGGGTGCTTTCATAAGAGAGAGGTAGACTTGGGGGGGGGAGGGTAAATAGCAGCTCTGTACTTATACATCACACTTATACTCATACAATACCATTTCCACTGTGGCTAGAGGTCCTCAGAGTAGGAAACCCAGCAGCCCCTCTGGGCTTGATATTCATGATCTACTGTGATGTGGCCAGAATTTTCCCTGGTCATTCTCTCCTCCTGTGAGCCATGCACTAATGCATTTCTTTCAACTACCTATAGAAAGAACCACACCTTCAGGCACTCAACCCTGGTGACCATGAACTGGGAGGAGGCTGGCCTTCAGTGACCTCAGCAGGTGACTCATCTCACCTTCACGGACATGGTCCAAGGTGTATTCCAGTCTCAGGCCCAATTGAAGTGTCCCATGGAAGGAGCAGAGTGGGTGGGAGAGCCAGTGGCAGGGGGAGGGCAGGATCTGGGACGAGGGGAGGTTGAACGTGACAGCTCTGAGATGGGGCTGGAGACCCCTATCCAGTCTCAACACCCAGGGCCCTGTCTACGCAGCAGGGAAGGGACAGAGACCTGCAGTACGATGTCTCCCATCAGCCCTGGGACCTGAGAGGCCAGGAGGGGCAGGTGCCCATTGGATCCATCCTGCTGTGTGTTCTTCAAGGGCATCCTGCTTTCTGCTCTTGTGTTTGCACGTAGTCCCTGTCCTGAAGGATTACAAGCCACCCGGCAGAAGTCAGTCCAAGCAGGGCAGTGAGGATGTGTCAGTAGCAAGGCAAGGCTCCGCTCCCCTCCAGAGGTGAGAAAGTCGGGGCTCCGTGCTATGGAGACAGTGGTAAGGGTGCTAAGGGAGGGGGAATGTGGGGCAAGGAGCCTGAGGCCCTTCCAGGAATTGAGGACACCACAGATATGCACGGCCTAGGCAGGACACCTGCTGCAAGAGGTCAGGTGTCGATCTAGGTGTTTGGGGGAAATCCCGGAAGTGGACAAGGGTGCTCAGGCCTCCTCATGAGGACTTCCCGGGGTTGGCTCTGCTATGGATGGAGTACAAAGACACAGGACAGGAGGGGAAGGCAGGAGTGCTGAGAGAGCTGTGAGGAAACCTGTTGTTAGAGAGTGCTCTCCCTCCTCTCTCTCTCTCTGTGTATGCATCTGTCTGTACGTCTGTGTATATACTGCAGGCAAGACAAGCCATAGGCTCCCTGAAAGAGGAATGGAATTTGAGGCTGCTGTGGAGACCCCCAGGCTCTCCACATGCACTTGGAGAGAGATGATGCCAGCTGTGGAGAGGACCTGGGCTTGGAACCATAGCCACCACAGGTCTGGAAGGAGACTATACCAGCTGTGGAAAGGATCTGGGCCCCAGACAAGGCAGAACCTCCAAACAAAACAAGTTGGGTGCATCCAGGGAGAGGCCAAGAGGAAATCACTGCTGAACACATAAGAAAGTCACATCTCCAGGGATGGTGACCTGTGAGTCGAGCCACATGAGGACATACAGGACGGAGCTAAGAAGGTAACCCCACTTTGGATCACAAAGTCCTGCACCTAAGGTGTGCAGGGGAGTAATCCACCCAGGTAAGGTCCTGGGGGACAGAGTCCTTCTTCAGGGCTGGATCAAGACAGCCACACCCATGGCATCCTTGGTCAGCTTCCAGATGGATCTGTGTGACTTTCTGAGCTCCAGAGCTTTGTGTGTAATGTTAGGGGCACGGGCGACCTGAGGATCCCTTGGGAGATCTTCCCCGGCAGGTTTAGCCACGTCATCCCCGCCCCCACCTAGAATTCTGGCTTTGCACTATAGAGGCTGGAGAGATGTCACCACCAAGAAGAAGTGACCTACACAATAGAAATGCAACAGGAAAGATGACGTTAAATATTAGAGAAAAAGATCTCTAGGTGAGTTCACACCCACTGAACTTAGTAATTCACTGCTGGCCCTCAGCCTAAGACAAAGGGCTTTTTGAGAGAAAAAAAATCACTATTTAAAAGGCACGTTAATGACATTTGCACCATTCCACCCCGGCAGATGGTTAAGTAACTCCTCTTTGCCCCCACAGCCATTTCTGAGATGGAGAAGAAAAGCCCCTTCCATGTGTAATGATGCACGTAGAAGAACAACTGATACACTTTGGACTGTTGTTGGTGCTGCTTTGAGGTAACAATCATGCTTATTGGGAAAGAATTAGGGCAAGTAGAAAATTCAACACATTTCAATAGGGATACGGAATGAAGGGAATTCAATAAAAATATAACTTTCCCAGTAGAGTTAAAGCACAGTAAATGGTAGAAACAAGCACCAGGTTAGAGAGACCAACTGTGGTTCTCTCTCCACTACCCAACCTTGAGACAGCAAGACCCGTGGGCCGCCAGGGTCTCTCTGTGCAGTACTGAGAGCATTCAGAAGCTTGCTGAATGTGTGCCTGCAGAGGTGATCCCCTCTACTCACAGGGGTGACAAAGAGCCCACGGGCTGGGGGTCTGACCTGAACCTGAATGGGTACAGTGTAGAGAGGACAGGCTGGACCCCCGTCCCCAAGGAAGAGGCCGCTGAGGGAGCAGACATGGGAGATGTGTGGGAGAGGCCTGTGGGAGTTTCTTCTTTCCTTGCCAGATGACCCGCACTGGGTAAGACCAGGAGCTAGCACGGCAGAGCCAGATCCACAAGAAGTCATCATGAAAGACAACTGAAACGATCGTGGGCGTGGGCCAGGCCCTGCCACATCCCAGAGAAAATGGAGAGCGGCAGGAAGCATACGGAACTCTCTGGTGCTGTAATACAGCCCGCATTTGTCACACTGTGTTTCCTTGGCGGGGCCTGGGGGCGGTGATGGTGGTGGTGGTGGTCTGTGTCTGAGTGTTGAGAGGTAAAGGCAGGCTGGGGAGAGACAGTGGCAGCTAGGAGGCCTAGAGGAAACCCATGCTGAAGGGCCCAAAGTGCAGAGCAGTGAAGAGCAAACAGTGGTCTTGTAGCAGGGCTAACGGCCCACCAGTGGCCACAGCTTAGCTTGGATCTTTGCTTAGGGAGAACTTACCAGATTGGTTGTGGTAGCGGCAGCAGGGATTGCAGTTTTCAGAAGGGAAGGCTTTCTAAAGGGCAGAGATGGATGAGGCATCCCACCATGGGCTCCGGATGTGACTTGCGTATAGCTGTGGCTCATAGACTGTACACAAGACACACACCCCCTCCACCTGGGGTGCCTAGACTCTATACCTGGCTGTGGTGTTTCTGCTATTTTCCAGCTCTCTGACTGACAAAGTTATTGCTTCTCTCTGTGCCCCAGTTTTTCTTCTTTTTAAAGAAAAGTATATTGTTCATCATGTGTATGCATGTGTGTCTGTGTTAGAGTATGTACACATGAGTGCAGTTGCCCATGCAGGCCAGAAGAGGGTGCCAGATTCCCTGGAGTTGAAGTCACAGGTAGTTGTGAGTCATCCAACATGGGTGCTGGGAACTGAACTCTAGTCCTCTGCAAAAGCTGTACTCACTCTAAATCACTGAACCATCTCTCTACTCCCCTAGCCTCAGGTTCTTCAAATGTAAATCAGAAGTAATAATAACATCATCTTTCATTGGGTTGTCGTTTATGAATTGCCATTGTTTTGAGCACTGACTGTTGGAAATGCATTAAATAAAAGTATAAAATAGTGTGGGATATCTCCTCATGAGTTGTTGTTGGTGAGGGAAGCCAAGGGCCCTCAAAACAATACAGGCTAATGCTGATGTTCTTGCTTTTACACTAGAGCTAGGTGATAAGATCATATCACTAAACATACCATATACTTGAGTTGCAGGACATAGAGAAATCAAATCCAGCTGGTCCTCATAGTGCTAAAAGGTACTAAGTACTGTGCAAGCAGTTGGGAGAGGAAAGCCATTAATAGTCTCACCTAGCTGTGAACCCTGAGAGTTACACCACCAACCAGTAGTGGCATGACTATTGTGGGGGTAACCAACTGTTGTGGAATATTAGTTAAAGATGTGTCTCATTCTTTTATGCTGTGGAGTATTTGTTTAATAATGCAAAGATGCGTTACATTCTTTTATGTCACATTTGTTTAACTTTGCTAAGCTGTGTTACTTTGCCAGCCTAAAACACCTGATTGGTCTGATAAAGAGCTGAATGACCAATAGCAAGGCAGGAGAGGAATAGGTGGGGCTGCCAGGCAGAAAGAATAAATAGAAGGGAAGAAGAAGAGGAGGAGTGAAAGGAAGAGAGGAGGATGCTAGGGGCTAGCCACCCAGCCAAACAGCCAGACATGGAGTAAGAAGGGAAGAAAAGATATAGAGAAATAGAAAAAGGCAAAAGCCCAGAGGCAAAAGGTAAACAGGATAATTTAAGTTAATTGGCTAGAAATAAGCCAAGCTAAGGCTGGGCATTCATAAGATAGAATAAGTTTCCATGTATTTATTTGGGAGCAGGGTGGCGGGCCCCCAAAAGAGCAAAGAGTGAAAACAACCAACTACAACTAACCACTTTCTTATTGGCTTTTGAGCCTGCTCCACAGGAGGAATTCAAAGCAGGTACTATAAACCTGGTCAGAAGCCCATGACCAGGGAGGTCATAGGCCCTGGGGAGGAACCTGCTACTGTTGTTTAACTAGATGGACATGGTGTCAAAGTGCCTTCTAAGGATTTGTTTCTACCATCAATTGTAGCAGGAATCTTAAAGAGTCTTATTAATAAAATCAAACCTGAGGCCAGTTATTGGGGTGAACTCTGGAAGATCAGAGACAGAACGAGCCACAGCTACCTCACCTCACCGGATCCTCAGCTGATCCTGTTTCCTCAGACTGGAGGCCTCTAAATCCTCATCCAGAATGGGTCTCAGCTGAACTTCTGCTCCAAAGCCTGAATGCTTAACCAGCCAAATGCTCACGCCTTATATACCTTTCTGCTTTCTACCACCCCTCCCTGGGATTAAAGGCTTGCTTTCTGGGATTAAAGGCGTGAGTCACCATGCCTGGCCGTTTCCAATGTGGCCTTGTACTCACAGAGATCCCAGAAGGATTTCTGCCTCTGGAATGCTAGGATTAAAGATGTGAGTGCCACCATTTTCTAGCCTTTGTATCTAGTGGCTGTTCTGTCTCTGACCCCAAATAAGTTTATTAGGGTGTACAATATTTTGGGGAACACAATACCGCCACAATCAGTGCTATTCTCAACTTTGTCAGAGAAGCTTCTGTTTGCAGTGGGTGATGGGCAATACACAGACTCAAGTGGTCAAAGCGTTGAGAGTAAGAGGTGGTTGGATGCCAAGTACTGGGGCTAGAGCGATGGCTCAGTGGTTAAGAGCACTGGCTGTTCTTTCAGAGGACCTGAGTTCAATTCCCAGCACCCACATGGTGGCTTAAAACAGTCTGTAACTCTAATAACAGGGGGTCCAGCCCCATCTTCTGGCCTCTGGATGCACTAGAAATGCATGTGCATAGACATGTATTCGAGTAAAAAATACCCAGACACATAAGGTAATAATAGAATGCTAAGTACTAACCAGGACATCTACATCACCCTCTCCAAGGCTCCAAGATCATTACGGAAGAGGAGAGGAAAAGGTGTGAGAGCCCAAGGGTGGGAAGGAACGCCATGAAATGCTGTCTTTTGGATATGCCATGGCTTCTGCATCATGAACTCACAGCAGCGGTGGCTACCTGCACAAGATTGGGCCCATCAACATTCCATCATGGACAAGAGCGGGGCTCATAGGGCCCCACCCCTCCCTGAGGAGCCATAGGCAATTAATGGTTGCTGGGGCAGAGAGAGTCATATTCCTTAGTGGTCTAGCCACTGGTAAGTTGTTCTCGCTCAAGTAAATAACTCCCCACCCAGGCTCATGCAGGCAACCCTAATTAAATCCGGTGGGTCACAGAAAAACCCAAAGCTGATAGAAGCACCAGAAAAAAAGGTTTAAAAGTAGGAGGGGGCTTGATGGGAGCAAGAAGGGGTTTAGTGCAAGCTGGGGAGGGAATAAGAAGATAATAGGAGTGAGGAGATATGACCAAAGTGTGTGCGTGTGCGTGTGTGTGTGTTTATATATACAGAAAACTGTGAAAGAATAAATAAGAAATGGTTAAGATAGTAAAACATATACCACAAAACATAAAACAGTCATTAGGGTGCCCTGGTAGGAGAGCAAGTTGCCCATGGGTGACAGAGAGCTTGAGTCCTTGGCTTAGGAGAGTTTCTCCAACTAGGGAGAGACACTCATCAGAGAACCCCTGAACCCTGTCTTTGTTGGCGTATGCCACCAGGGAGCCAGTCAGCCAGAGTTAATTCATGATCACACTCAGGTACAAGTACCTAAGAAAAGGTCATCAGCTGCTGCAGGTGTGAGCTGTGTAGCCCATGGATTGACAGACCTACCATCAAGGCCATAGCCGGTCACCAATGGGAATAGCCAATGTCTCCGGGGACTGACGTAAGAGCAATGGCCAGGGACTTTAGGAATTAGGAAGATTTGCTGGAATCTTTGGATGTCACTTCAATTTAATTACATTGTGTGTGTGTGTGTGTGTGTGTGTGTGTGTGTGTGTGTGTGTGTGTGTGTGTTTCCAGACACCCTTCTCTTGCCTTTAGTGTCTATCCTGGTTATTGAGTCTGCATAGCCACCTCCCAGCCGCCCATCTTAAAAAATAATTCCTTATTTTAATTTAAAATTAAAATAACATTTATATCATTTATTGCCCTTCCCTTTACTCCCTCCAGCTCCTCCCACATCATCCTCTGCTCCCTCTCAAATTCATGGCATCTTTTTCTTTAATTGTTGCTACACACACACACACACACACACACACACACACACACACACACACACCTAAATAAATCCAACCTGCTCAGTCCATGTGGTGTTACTGGTGTGTATATGATTTCAGGACTGACCAAATGGTATTGGATCACTAAGTACGAGGCTCATCCTTGGGGAAGACTGTTTCTCCCTCTCTCAGCATTCCTTAGTTTCTACAGTTCTTTGTCTATTGTGAGATTTCCTCCAGCTGTATTAGCAGGTCTACTCGTGTCCTTGTTCAGGTCTTGTTTAGGCAGCCATGTTGTTGGGCGTCCAGGGTGAAGCTTCCCTTTCATTTCTGGGAGACAGTCTCACAGCAGATTTCCCGGTCCTCCGACTCTTAGAATCAGTCACTCCACCCATGTTCCCCCAGCCTTAAGTACAAGAGCTGTGTTGCATGGGTGTCAAGTGGGACTGAATCTTCCACGATCACTTGTTCTCTGCATTTTGACCCGTTGTGGTTTTCGGTTATGGTGTCCACCTGTTGCAAAGAGAAGTTTCTTTAATGAGAGATGGGAGCTACGGTTATCTGTGGGCATGAGGATAAATACTTAGAACCCAGCTGCCTGTCTTTACCTGCATGTAGGTCAGACTGGGTCAACTCAACAGGAATCCATAGGACACCACTGGCTTCCCCCATGGCTGCTGGTCCTTCCGGGTCCCCTCTACCAGGGATGAGCATGGCAAATGTTGTGTGCACATGCTCACCTCTGCCGTGTCCACCACTGGCACAGGAGTGCTGGCCCCTTACAGTATTTCTTGAGTTTTCCTCCCCACTCTCTGTGCCGTCCAAGGCTGCACTCCTGCCCCTTTTCCATACTCTGTCTGCCTCTTTTCCTCTCTCATCTGGCCGCCATAGAGGCCTATGGAAAATACCCATCAGCCGGGAGCCCTGACACTCAGCCGTCTTCAGTAGTTATCTCTGTGCTCTGGGGATGAGGCCTCCGTTCTCAGCATGCCCTTCAGTTTCCCGGTCTCTTCCTCAGGGTCACGTATTTCCCACTGTTCCTGGTTGTATACCCCAGCCAGAATGACACCAGGGAGCAGATGGAGACTCCTCCCCCCTCTCTCTCTCTCCTAATCCTCCTTTTTCTTAGGGCTTCACTTGACAGAGACAGTCGCCCCTTCAGACGGGCCCTTCTGCTGTCCTGGGTGAATTGGGGCCCCTCTCCGGCACATTCACAGCTGCTGCGCACAGCCGCCCTGTAACACACTTCCCTCCACTCTGTCCACAGAGACGGAGACTACTTCCTGAAATCAGGGATGGGACAGAAGTCCAGCAGCGGAAGCTGGTGGTGCTGGTTTAAGGACATGGGTGCGGAGACCCTGAATGTTGGTGATAGGACATCCTTTCTCCTCTTTTCCCCAACAGAGCCTCAGTTTTACCCCAGGGACAGCATGTGTGAAGCGTTCCTTTGTAGGTGGTTACTTTGTGGGCAAAGTCTCTCTCTCTCTCTCTCTCTCTCTCTCTCTGTGTGTGTGTGTGTGTGTGTGTGTGTGTGTGTGTGTGTGTGTGTGTGTGAAGTTTCCTTCTCTGCTATGAGCCTGGCCCCTTCCTGTGCCCCATCTTCCCCCTTTTTCCTGAAATAAAGAGAGAAGGCTGGAGGAGGAACAGCCATCTTGTGACCATGAGCTAGCCCTAGTCATGGGAGCCACATACTAAGGAACCCTGAAGGAGTCAGGTCATGACCCTCTGACTACCAACCAGCAAACCTCATCCAACAGACGGTCAGGGCCAAAGGGAATTCCATTTCCCCAAATCCTGGCGGGTAAACAAAGGCCAGCTATCCGTTCCCCTTATCAGCCTGCTGTTTTGGCTCTGCTCCCTCCTTCTGCTCACCCCACCCCACTCTGTCTCTTTCTCTTGTCTTCCTCTCTCTGTTTGCCGCTCTCCCTTCTCTCTGGGTTTTTTTTCTCGCTCTCTGCTCTACTCCTGCGTCTCTTGTGGTCAGGTCTAGTCTGCCGGCCATGTTCAGTCTCCCACTTTCTCTCTCTGCCCTGGACTCTTGCAGGTGCCTCTGGCCATTCTCTCTTCCACATCTACAATAAAACCCTTCCTCCTAACCACACCACGGAGTGGTCCTGCCATCAGCCCATACACACACAGATAATTCTCATTGAAGTCACCGTGGCTGGCTCTCCACCTCTTTAGTCAGACTCTACTGATAGCATTTCTGAATAAACATTTCCTTTGGCCGTGACACACTGGCCCTGATACCAAGCCGAGGGCAAAGTTAAAGGAAGGAGCAGGGCAACAAACACAGGAGAGATGGATTCTCTCGGGGAGTCTGCTAGAAGAACATGGGAAGGCCACATGTTGAGGAAGAAATTCTAACCACCGAAAGGCCCCGCGTGATGTGAGATCGCAGGACTAGATAACTTGATAAATGCTTGGGGCTAGAGAGATGGTTGTCTTTGCAAGCAGGAGGACCTCAGTTCAGTCCCATGCAGTCAAAGAAAACAAGTCTTGGTGGCATGACTTATAATCTCAGGGCTGGGGAGGCAGAGACAGCTTTCTGCCCAGCTGACGGTGAACTTCAGGCCACTGAGTCCCCAGTCTGAAAACAAGATGGATGACATCTGAGAAAAAACACCTGGGGCTATCCTCTGACCTCTATACCACCTCAGGATGGGCTTTGGCATCGAGCAAAGCTGAGTTCAGGGTCTCTGGTTGTATCACTTCCTAGCTCTGTGGCCTTTGGTCTCTTTCTATTCCACCCCGCTAGCATCCCGGCCTGTAAAATCCAGATCATTGAAGCGCCGGGTACATGAGCATCAGGCACAACCCACCGTGGCTGTGGCTATCTGTGCCCAGGGTGCATTGAGTGTCACCTCCAACTCCGGACAGCCTTCTGCGTGTTCCACCTTACCAGGAACAGAATGGTGATCGAGTTTGCTGTGGATCTGGAAAGCCGGTCTGTATGTATCTCTCTCTGCAGCTGAACCAAACAATCAGACGTTGTCCACGGTCCGGAAGCCTCTGCATGTTGCTGTGTCCAGAGTCCTTGGCCTGTAGGTACATAGGAAGAAGTCCCCAGACCACCAGGCCAAACAGGAATTGGAAAGGCATCCGGCCTTGGGTAGAAATAAGGCAGTGTGCTCCATCCTTCACCCAGCCTGTGTATTTAAGGGCATCTTTTCCTGAGCTGGGATGGGCTGGAAGCGGTGACTCTGCGGAGGACAATGGACTCGGGGGCTGCAAAGATGCCTCCTCCGCCGAACTGCCTCAAGTGCTTTTGTTGGATCCTTTTTGGCTTCTCCCGGAAAAGGTTCACCTTCTTTCTAAGATTCCAGTCCAGGAGGGGGAAAAAACCGTGCTCACTCTAGCCTGCAGAGGAGGTCAGTGAGGGGGCAATCCCGTCAGACCAGCGCTTCCCTTTGTCCCAACCCCCAGCACTCCAGGCCAGACCCGCTGACACTCGACAGCGCCTGCGGTTTACCTTGGCTCGGTTCCAGTGAGTTCGAGCCCAGCCCTGGGGCGGCCCCCACCTCTCCACCTTGTTACGCCTTCCCACCCTCCTCTGCAGCGCAAAGAGCAGTTTAAATATAAATCAGTCCTCAGCACAAACAGAGCTTGGGCGGCGCGAGTCGCAGAGCCATCACCGGAACCGAGGGCCCAGGTTTGCGGAGCGAGTGCAGACACGCAGAGCCCGGCTCTGGACAATCCCAAGAGCCGCGGAGACTCCTCGTTCCCTGCCATCATTTGGAAACCCCGGGCCCCTCGGGTCCCTTCCAACTCCCCACCCCTTCCTTAGTTCCGTGCCCACCCTCTACCCCACCAAGTGCCCAGGTTTCTCCATTGGCCTGCACCCTCTTGTCTCCTTCATCCGCGGTGGCTCCTTCTTCGGGGATCTGCCATCTCCCCGCGTGCCACCTCCCGGCCTGCGGGACCTCTTAGGCAGCTGGGGCTCACTAGGTCGAATCCTAGAGCCTCTGGGCTTCCGCAGCCGCGACGCCAGGGCCCAAGACACCTGTCTGGGGAGGCGGCAGCGCCTGGGCGGGGGCTTGCAGCACCTCTGACACCCGAGGAAAAGAGGGAGGAGGGAGAGCGCGTTTCATCATCGCCGCCACTTATAAAAACTTCTGAGCGCTCACTCTCTCGCTCAGTCTCCGCGCCGCGCTCCCCATCGTCGGGCTACCACCGCCGCAGCCTGAAGCGCCTGAGTCCCGCAGAACCTGTCCCCGGCCTGTCGCCACCGCCTGGGCCCGGCCAGGGGACGTCGCCTCCGTCACGATGGGGCTCCTGCCCAAACCCGGAGGGCGCCAGGGCAGCGGCACCTCCTCGGTCCCAGCCAGACGCTGCTCCCGCTCTGTCTTCAGCAACATTAAGGTGAGTAGAGTTGGGGGAACACAACCTAGGGCGTCGATGAGTCCAGTCCGGGAACTCTGAGTGCACCGGGCTCCCTTCTCTGTGCCGGGTGCCACATCCTTGGGGCCTGGCCGGGAGTATGAAGGGGTGACTGCAGGGCGATTGGGTGTTCTCTCTCTCTCTCTCTCTCTCTCTCTCTCTCTCTCTCTCTCGTGTGTAAGCTCACAGGCTCTCCCGGGGATAATAACTAGAAGAATAGACGAACTTTCACACAGAGGGAGCTGTCCTCCCGGGAAATCTTTTGGGTCTCCAGCTGTGGGCACGTTCTTCCTTAGAGAGTGGATCCAGAGGGCTCTGTGGGCAACAGGCTGTAGGCAGCCTGAGATGCTACAGGTCAGAGCTCATACTGTTGTACCAGGTGGATGACAGAAACCTGTTCTCCCTGGCTGGGCTTTCAGATTCGCAGTTGTCCTGGACCAGATTGCGACCTGCCTGCAAAGCTCCCAGCAGTTTTGAGACATCCCCAAACTCTTCTGGTCTGGAAATGGCCTCAAGAAAACAGCAGGCATTTGAGGTTTATTAAGAAAGGTCACAGGAGGTGCCTGTGGCCTGAGAGTTATGGGGAATTAGGGAAGAAAAAGTGGGGTGTTAGAAACTGTTAGGATGCCAATGCCTTCTTTGATAAGGGCCAAAATGAGGTCCACTTTCTTACAGGTCTGGAAGGACCTAGAATGGTTGACTCCTCACTCACAGTATTTGGGGGAGAGGTTCCTGAAGGAGGCACCTCCTGGGAGGGCTAAATGATCCTACCTCCAGGCCCGTTGGGGCCAGGCAAGAGTACGGTGCTGAGAGATTGATTATTTCCCACAATTCTACCTTAGATACAACTAGTGCTACAAGTATGGGGTGCCCAGATCTCACATGGAAGGACTGGGGCACTGTGGGCAGGCTATGTGTGTCTAACAAAAAGAGACTCGGAGGTGAGAGTGGATGCCACCCACACGCTTTACCTCAGGCTGTTACTGGTAGAGCCGGGGCTCCTTGTGGGGACCCCTGCGTTGGTTCTTACCCCACCACAGTTTAAAAAGGTTGCATCGATTTCCACCTTGGACTATTCATAACATGGAAAATGGGAGCTAATGAAAACAGTCCCCATATCTCCTCCCTTTTAACCAGACCTGAATGGGAATAACATGTGTTACGTTGGTTCTATCTGTTCAGGGGGACTTGGGGAATTGTGAACATTTTTTGATATTTTTAACCGAGGAATCAGAAGGAAAGGGCGTGTGCAAGGGTTGAATGGTCTCAAAGGAATAGGACTGTGGCGGGATTGGGGAGGGAGGACTCTCCGAGTTTCCCCAGGAATGGTAGGAGAGGTGGCTGTCCCAGGGTTCCTGACAGTGAGGGGGACAAGAACGAGCTGTAGCGATCAAGAACAACCATGTAGAGTTACCCCTCATCCCCAAAACACGCGGATGGCAGCTATTTCTTTGAAAACATATAAAAAGAAGATAAAAACCACACTCACATGCCCGAGATTCAAGCTAGAGACCTGGACCCAGGCCAGTTGGCCTCTGAAGGGAGGTAAGTGCTCTTATCTATCAGTCAGGGAGTTTTTCTTGATTCTGTTCAAACATCTCCTTGCTTGGTGGATAATAGGCATCAGCTGACAGGCAGTTGGAGAGACCCCACCTTGGCTCCCCTATAATCCGAAGCCCAGTGATTCCAGGAGACCCCAGGCCCACCTGGAGTGGAGAATCCCTCTTATCTGAGCTTTTCCTTCTTGACAGATCTACGCCTGGGGCTTTGCTATTTGAAGGGAGCGTTCTTCCTTTTAATGACAGGTTGGGTGGCTGCCCTATACCTTCCCAGCAGGGAAAGGGGACACAGTGACATGGGGGGAGGTGACACGGGACATCCAGTGACTATCGAGTGATGTTCCACATGGTTCGGGGGAGGGGAAAGCCTGAGGACAGGATCCATGGCCAACCCAGCCACTCACCTCCTGGGTCATGCAAGAAACATGGCTCACCTTTCTTGGGCCTCTGGGGTCCTTTCTTGAAAAAGTGGGTGTCATGAACAGTTCCTACCCATGCAACTCTGTAAGAATTACCTGGGATAAGAGCAGAAAAGGGTCTCTCCAGGGTGAGCACCTAGTGACATGAGTTGAGTCCATAAACAATACTGTGCCTTCCAGAGCCAGTTAGGAGCTCTTGATTCGGTGCTAGTTCAGTATACAAGAAGCCCTGGGTTCCGTCCTCAGCACCGCATCGTGGACCTGTACAGGTTCAAGCCAGATGGGGTCCCACGCTGAGAAGTGGGAATGGGCCCCACCTCTAACCAAGATGCTATTTACAATTGATATGTATCAGCAAGGGGAAAATCAGGGTTCTCCAATGGAGTGTCACTGGGTATATCAACCACACTTCAGGGCAGACCCCATGTCCAGTAGCTGGCCAAGGTAAAATGGACTCCATGATTTGTTTGTTTGTTTGTTTGTTTGTTTTGTGGGCTGTTTGGACTTCTTTTTTTTTTTTGGTTTATTGGTTTTTATTTGTTTTGATTTTCATTTTTGAGTGTGTGTGTGTGTGTGTGTGTGTGTGTGTGTGTGTGTGTGTATGCTTTTTAGACAGAGAGAGAAAGAACATAAAGTTGGGTGGGTAGGGAGGATCTGGGAGGAGTTGGTGGAGGGGAAATATAATCAAAATATATTGTACAAAAATTGTTAAATAAAAAAACAAATCTTTAAACCTGTTTAAAGGTTCAATAAGAATACAAACACACAATAAGAATAAGAAAAAAAACTGGGCATGGTGGCCCTGTAATCCCAGCATTCAGGAGATAAAGGCTAGAAGCTCAAGTCCTCATTAGTTACATAGTGAGGCAACCTGGGCTACATGAGCCCTGTGACCAAAAAAAAAAAAAAAAAAAAAGGAGCCATTGTCCCACTCATCCCATGATGCACAGTTATCAGTTAACAACTACAGTTGATAACATTCATCATAATATCATAATAATATCAACAAATAATAGCTAATGGTAATTGAGTTCTATGAAGGCACAGACTTGGAGAATTTTGTGTCCACATTCCACCTGCTTTACAGTTCTATCAGATGGATAGTATTACCAATCTCATTGATGAGGAAATCAAGGGTTCAGAGAAACAGGAAGGGTGACAGGGAAAGAGACGTGGGAGAAGCAGCTGTAGAATGGAAAACTGTTCTACCCAACCCGCCACCGGCACCCTGCCTTCCACCCTGAATCTGTAAGCCGCAACAACACAGCCATCAGTTAACAGTACTTTCTCCAGACCTGGGAGACATCCGGGAGGAGGGATGGTGGGTACTCAGACAGACATCCTCAATGCTGTCTCTTTACAAAGATGCTCAGTAAAAGAGCCTTGCAACAGTTAGGGGAATTTTTGTGGTGTGTGTGTGTGTATGTGTGTGTGTGCGTGCATGTATACACACGTGGCCAGATGTGCACAGATATGTGGTGGTCAGAGGATAACCTACAGTATCATCCTCAGGAACACCTATCTCCCCTGAGAAAGAGTCTTAACTGGCCTGAAGCTCACTGATTAGGTTTGGCTGGCCGGGATCCCCAGGGCTCCTCCCATCTCTATCTGGTATTAGGATCAAAAGCACCACGGTGTTGGGCAATGACATTCCTACATAGGTGCTAAGGGTGGGACTGGGTTCCTTCTGCTCACAATCCAAATACCTTATAGGTAGGGTTATCACCTTACCCCTTCCAGAAATGTTTTATGATGCTGCTGGCTGAATCCAGAGCCATGTACAAGAAAGCATTCTCCCATTGAGCTACCTCCCAAGCCCTGCGGGGTGAATTTTCATATCTCCTCCTGCAGGAGACATCTGCTGAGATGTGATTTGCAAGATTCTTAGGAAGCCCAGAACCTGCTCAAGCGATTGCTGCCAACTAGCTTCGTATAGCCCCAGGACTTCAAATTAAAAAGAGGGTCCCTCAGAGAGCCTGGAGTAGGATGGCGGTCGATGTCTTTTGGAGCCAAGTTGACGTTATCTTATAGGGGGAATGGTCTGCTGGTGATGGTTGCCAAACTTGAGGAAAACCACACCCATTGGGGGTGGAGGGGCACCCCTGTAGAAGAACAGAGGGGAGAGAGGGAAAAAGGGCCAACCTTATGGCTCGGTTTGAGTGGACTGGGGGCACTGATGGGGGGAAGTACCTTGTTCTTGCCCGAGTCTGTAACTTCTGAGGCCTTGGACCCCCAGACCCTGGGGAGGCATCTTGAGCATTGCTTCTTGGTCTCCAGAATCTAGGACAGCATGCCAGCAATCTAGTCCACCCCCAGGAAAATATTCCCAATGGACTCCCTGCACCCACTCCCCTCCAGGGGGCGCCTTTCTCTAGCTTTCAGAGAAGTGTTCTGTTCTCAGGAGGCCATCTTGTCAAATTTAGGAGGCAAGGGTAGGGAGAAGGAAGCATGGGAATTGGTGACTTTCTGAGTAATAGGACACTGGGATCCTGTCTGGGATGATGCTCAAAGCCTTCCATCGCTTTTCTCTTCCCAACACAGAACGTTTCTGCAGGCAAAGAGTCCCTTTCGTCTTTCCTGACTGTGACGTGACTGTTTCCTTCCCATGCTAGGAGGGAGAGCCAGTCTGGGCTATTGGGACGAGGGGCAGGCTTCTCCTCACCTTCTCCTGTCTCACTGTGTCATCAGCTGTGGTGTTTGTCAGGGAAGGTCAGAGGCCTCTGACCTCACCCTCTCCTGTTCTCCCTCTTCCCATGCTTGCTTGGCTTTCTATACCATGCCATGGTTTTAACCACATCCTGGCAGACAGCCTTTCTATCCATAGAGGCACTGGCTGCACATGCCTGTTACGTGCCCAATCCCAAGGGCAGAGATGCAGGGGCACACTGAGAGGACCAGGCCAGGGAGACTCAGAGATGGAGGGGCACACTGAGAGGACCAGGCCAGGGAGACTCAGAGATGCAGGGGCACACTGAGAGGACCAGGCCAGGGAGACTCAGAGATG